ATCAATTTTGTAGCACTTCTCTGCACTTTTTCTAGTGCCATGATATCCTTTTTTAGAACAGGTGCCCAAAATTACACAGCATATTTAAGGTGTGGTCTTACCAGCGATTTATAAAGAGGCAAAATTATATTTTCATCCCGAGAATGTATGCCCCTATTTATACATGACAAAATTTTACTGGACTTAGCAACTGCAGATTGACGTTGCATATTGCTGCCTAATTTGTTGTCTATAACAATTCCCAAATCCTTCTCGTGTGTGGTTATCCCTAATTCACTACCATTTAGGGTGTAAGTTGCTTGTGCATTCTTGACCCAGAAGTGCATAACTTTGCATTTCTCTACGTTAAATTTAATCTGCCATTTTAGTGTCCAGTCCCCCAATCTATCCAAATCCCTCTGCAGCAAAGCAATATCCTGCTCACATTTTATTACTTTACAAAGTTTTGTGTCATCTGCAACATGGCTTTCAATGCCTATTTCAAGATCATTTATAAATATGTTAAATAGAAGCGGTCCCAAAACAGAACCTTGAGGGACACCACCGAACACTACCGAAAATGTACCATTAATGACAACTCATTGTATTCTATCCTTAAGCCAGTATTCTACCCAAGAACAAGAATATTCATCTAGACCAATTTCTTTTAGTTTGAAGACTAACCTACTGTGTGGAACCGTATCAAATGCCTTGGCAAAATCCAAGTAGATCACATCCACCGCAACACCCTGATCTACACTTCTACTTACTTCTTCGTAGAATGCAATCAGGTTAGTTTGACTTGACCTATGTTTCATAAAACCGTGCTGATTATTGCTAATAACAAAGTTCTTCCCAATGAATTCCTGAATATTATCCCTTAATAGCCCTTCGAATATTTTCCCAGTCACAGAAGTTAAGCTCACAGGTCTTGCATGCATGGCTTCCAATTGCACTGGGTCACTAATGTTTATTGATGATGTGACGGAAGCAGCCGGATGAATTCTGAAATGTATAGGGATAGATTGTCTGCTCAGATTCAGCATATTTGATTGGATGGCACTTCACTTTACAGATGGACAATGACCCAAAAACACAATGCGAAAGGTAAGTTTGAGGTGACAGAGCCACTTTAAAGATTATATATTGATACAATACTAATATGCTGAATTTATTAGCTGCGTTTATTTCTAATCTTTTATTATGTGGCATATATGTGCATCACCTGTTTATTCCTTCCATTTCATTTCTTGCATTAATGACAGCCTGGGAAGTCTTAAATGGGCAGTGACAGATCCTGTTTTTAATGCAACATATACATAATGCATAAAAAAGGAAAATTAAAAAAAAAGATGAAATTCCTAAAATTCCTGGACCTGCTTTTTCTGTTAAACTTTATTAGGAAAGGGTACGTGTGAGAGGATTTTAAGGCAAAAAAGTGGAATGTTCTGCAATGGCTACATCAATCATCTGATCCTTACCAGATCGAACATGCATTTCACTTGCTGTAGACAAAACCTAGGGAAGAAAGACCCACAAACAAACAACAACTGAAGACAGATGCAGCAAAGCATCACAAAGGAGGAAACCCAGCGTTTGGTGATGTCCATACGTTCCTGACTTCAAGCAGTCATTGCCTGCAATGGATACTCGACAAAGTATTAAAAATTAAAATTTTATTTATGATTGTGTTAAATTGTAAAATTACATTTGAGCCCCTGAAATAAGGGGACTCTGTATGAAAATGGTTGCAATTCCTATACGTTTCATATGATATATATTTTTCAACCCCTTGAATTAAACCTGAAAATTTGCACTTCGCATGTCGGTTGTTTCTTTTCAAATCCATTGTAGTGCCGTACAGAGCCCAAATTATGAAAATTGTGTCAGTGTTTAAATATTTCCGGACCTTACTGTACATGTGAAAGCCACTTACACTTTGCCCATTTAGTGTGGAGAGATTATAAAGTGGCAAGACTGCCTTTAAAGTGGTTAGTGATGGAAATAACACATGTATGCAGCCCCAGCAAGATGACAGGACCTAACAGAATATGCAGAATTATGTTTAAAAGCAATTCTACAGAATCATGAGGAAAAACGATTTTACGAGTTGCAAAAGCATAGCATATGGCAGTCTGACTTTAAACCCCATAAAATCATAAAAGGGGTGAAATAATTTGTTGGAATATTAGATAAAGATTTAATAGAGGTTCCTCTATACGACCTTCACTGTCATTAGTAATGCCCTTAATTAAATATCCTGAAAGAAGAATATGTCAGAGGTTCCACTTACTCATTTGCATAGTAATTAGAGATTGATTAGGCTGACCAGCTTCAGGGGACATTACACCTATACCACCAAGTTGGATCTGGCATCCAGTTTAGCCACAATTTTCAAACTTCTGAAAAAATATCAAGGGTTAACATCTCATTAACAAAAAAACAGAAAATTTGATTAACTTAACAGTTCTTGTTTTACAGCCACCAGATTCTATGTACTTACTGTAGCGGAACGCCAATAATAAATCCACGAATTCCGCTGGTTCAGAAACGAATCCACAGTCAAGCGCTGAAACAACAAGGCAATATCCCCAACCTCCCAATAACCGGACGAGACACAGTTTTGGGAGTCAACTGAAATCCTTTTAATCGGCAGGACAATTTATACAAGTCCCCATGCAAGGGGTTTCCTGAGTCCCTCCCCAGGGGCACTCCCAGAGGGGACTACATGGGGGACTTACATGACAACATATTTCTCCCATCAGGCACCGCTGCACGAGAGGGATCATCCTCCCAGAATGCACTGTTAAGGGGATTATCCTCTCGTGCAGCAGAACCGGCAATTCACACAAAAATCCCTAACTTGTTAAATACACGGTGGATTTACACGAATGGACGTTCGGTAGATAGCTGGGGTCTGAGTGCATCATTCGTGAGATTACCGCTCAGATCCCAGCTAAAATAACCGAACGCCGCACAAAAAACACATTTCTTTTAAAACATACGAAAACTCCCGAACGTCCTGGAGGCTCAGCGGTGTTCGTGCCGTCGAATAGCCATTGGTAGTACTATGCGTTCGACAACCCGGTCCCGCTGAGGAACAAAGGATCCAAGATGGCCGACCGCCACATGGTCGGTAGTCGAACGACGGCCACCCAGGAGAGCCTCTAATAACCGATTGCAACAATGTTGCAATCGGTTAACTAGCACCACACGCCTCTAAGTATGTGGGCTATTAGGGGGTATCGCGTTCGGTTCACGAACGGCTCTCTAAAGTGCCGTTCGTGAAACGAAAGAAAATCCCCATACAAAACTGCCATTTGCATTCGGCAGAAACAGCAGTACAGGCAATACAGAAAATACATTACGCATATACATAAGTGTAAAGTGCATATCTCGCCAGACCTATTGGCAACCCTTAAAGGTACAGTCTCCAGTTATAGTCCAAGTGGCTAGGTTTGCCACACTTACATTTAAATTATCACTGCACAGATCTCTGTATATTATAATGTAAATTACCTGTGATTCTGTATCTGTGTGATGAGGGAAGTTGGTATACATGGTTATTGTCCAGCCAGTATTTACTGGAAGTAAAGGGAAAAAATGGCAAACCTATCAATACTTCAGGTCTCTTCAATACAATAGTAAGCCTATAGTATGCCTGGATATGACTGCATACTAGTGAAAAGAAGTAATAATAATAATAATAATAAATGTGTCTTTTTTTTTTAAAGTTCTGTTTTTTAGAACTGACAGTTTAAAGCCACTGTCCTGCCAATCAAAAGGAGAACAGAAACAATGCCAATGTTTTTTTCCATTCTTGCACTAGCTGATTAGTAAAAATTTGAGCAAACAAACCCAAACCTACAAAAAATGAGACAATTTGAAGACCAAAAGTTCCATTGGTAGACAAAATATGAATAGGATAAAATACATCAATCTAATGACTCAATGAAACATATCAGTTTTGACAACACAATCAGCTCTAATTAGACAGCACTGCTGTCAAAATTGAACCGAAGGAACTGTTTTTTTAGCCATAAATTCCATTTGCATAGAACTGGCAGTCTGTATTTACCAAAATAAAATGCATAGTACTGTATGGCAATACATTTCATTATCACAGAAAAAAGAACCAGTTCTGGCGTCTGCACTTACTAACATAAAATGGCATTAAAATCCTCCAACACACCTACCCTTTCCGAATACATTTTAACAGAAAAAGCAGGTCCAGGAATTGTATTTATCTGTCTCTTTGTTTGATGCATTATGTATATGTTGCATCAAAAACAGGAATCTGTTCCTGTCCCTTTAAGACATTCCAGGCTGACATTACTGCAAAAAATGTGAAACGGAAGGAATAAACAGGTGATGCATATATATAGAACACATAATAAAAGATTTGAAATTCAGCATTTAGTATTGTATCAATATATAATTATTAAAGTGGTTGTCACCTCAAACTTACCTTTCTCCTATTATTTCCTTTTCTCTTCCTATTTCCCAATCTGTCCTCCATTTATCTTTACAATATTAGACAAAGACAAAGTAGGCACTGCTTTATTTGATGCATTTTTCCTACACCTGACAATTTTGACAAAACGGTGGAGCTTAAGGCAAGTTCCACTTTCTTTGTCAAGCTAACTTTTCCACTATCCTGCCCTTCCTCCGTTTACTCACGAGATTTCCGAGCATCGCACATGCCCAATTCCTTTTCCATTATTATTATAATTTTATTTTTTTTATTCTTTATTTTTATTGTGCAGGTGAGTACATATCAGGGTCAAATGCCACAACAGTGTACATATGTGTATACAGGTTAGACTGTGGCATGAGTAATTGCACATTTAGATTTTTATGAAGAAGCTTAGTGTAACAAATGAGGTTCAGTTGAGTGTTTTAACGTGAGTATGTAGCAAGAGTGTTTTACAAGATAGCAGTATGCTTAAACAGGTTAGGTACATGCTATGAGATAGAATCCTGTTCGGCTGTCCTTTAGTGTAGGCACGAATACAACACAATTAATACGGTGTCAGGTGTGGCACAATAGCTTGCAATGTAGGCATATAATGTGTGTTGTGAGAAAATCCGTTGATGTGAGCTATTGCAGTGTTACTAGTGAGGTGATCCTGGGTTGTCATGGCGTGTGTGCACCTAGGGGTATGCAAACAGGAAAAAACAATCATGGCACAACATAAATTAAATTAGATTAACGGTATCATCAGTGCAGGTGCAGAAGTCCAGCACATGGGAACGTGTACTAGAACGTGCACAAGGTGATGTGGTGGTTTCAGCCAATACCCCGGCATTTTGGGAGAGTCTCTGGATAGTGCTATCTGAGGTAGATATGCCAGGGTGTGTTCACTCTTACTTCTGGCCTTTGAGGGGTCCTGCACCTGGGGTCTGTGGAACCAGGCTATAGGGTATAATGAGGCTGCGGGTGGCTGTGGGTGCCTGGAGTGGTCGGCTTCTGGGTGCGGGTACCGTGATTGTGCCGTTGTGAAGCGTGTTTTGCGGCTGTGACCGGAGTGGCCCTTCATCTTGGTGGGTTAGGACGAGGATGTGGTGATTCTTGGATGGACGGTGCTTTGCCCACGTGGGACCCAGGCTCTGCACGGCTCCTTTCACTTCGCCTCCCCGTTGCTGAGGATGTGAGTTTTGTTTCCGAGCTTCTATCCTATGCCAGAATTGCTCAAACAGCTTATCAAGGCGCTGTAATATGCCTTTCACCATGGCCGATTCGCCAGTCGTCGGTCTGTGCAGTTCGCGCCACTGTTCAGGGAGCTTGTCTGCCATCTTAGGTGAGTCGGTTAGGCTTGCCGCGTGGTTGGTGTCGGGCGACTGGGTACATCGTTTGGATAGGGCGCAAGCCAGGAGGGGACCGGGATAACCCCCACCGGTCCGGGGGGAGGGACAGCATTAGTCAAATGTCTCACCGCCAGTAGAAGCGGTAGGAGAGCGGCAGCCTGTCCTCTGCTCGGTCACTGGTAGGCCGCAAAGACTCGAGTCAAGGTTTACAGTGGGAGAGAAATCCATGGAAGGTATCCCCAGCACCACCGGCGTTTCAATTACAAGCGTGGTCGAGTTTTGCTTCCAGGTAGGTGTTTGTTCGAGAGTAATGTTAAGTTTTAGGTGCCATTTGTGGGAGCCTCCTTTTCCATTATTAAAGGAACACTATAGTCACCTAAATTACTTTAGCTAAATAAAGCAGTTTTAGTGTATAGATCATTCCCCTGCAATTTCACTGCTCAATTCACTGTCATTTAGGAGTTAAATCACTTTGTTTCTGTTTATGCAGCCCTAGCCACACCTCCCCTGGCTATGATTGACAGAGCCTGCATGAAAAAAAACTGGTTTCACTTTCAAACACATGTAATTTACCTTAAATAATTGTATCTCAATCTCTGAATTGAACTTTAATCACATACCGGAGGCTCTTGCAGAGTCTAGCAAGCTATTAACATAGCAGGGGATAAGAAAATCTTAATTAAACAGAACTTGCAATAAAGAAAGCCTAAATAGGGCTCTCTTTACAGGAAGTGTTCATGGAAGGCTGTGCAATCACATGCAGGGAGGTGTGACTAGGGTTCATAAACAAAGGGATTTAACTCCTAAATGGCAGAGGATTGAGCAGTGAGGCTGCAGGGGCATGTTCTATACACCAAAACGGCTTCATTAAGCTAAAGTTGTTCAGGTGACTATAGTGTCCCTTTAATGGCTTACTGGGCATGCACAGCTGCGGTCATCTCCAAAGTGCTTCCCTGTTGCATAATATAGGCAAGAGAAGGCAGTGACCTTACGTAACAGCCAGCAATTAGAAGATGGCAATGTATGGAATGAGGATCTGGTGCCTCAAAGAGGAGTGCAATTTGAGGTGAAGACAGGTTATTTATTAATAAAATTATAATAAAAGGGGTATGTTGGGGGATAACCTGTGAGAAGATTAAAAAAAAGTTACTCTGTGACAGAGTCGCTTTAAAGGGACACTCAAAACCCATAAAGCACTAAAGCTTGCAGAAATGTTTTAGAGGGTATCACAGTGTCCCTTCTTTCTCAGTTTACAAACAAGAAACTGTCACTTTAATAACATAACTCGTAGCTGGTGTTCTTCCTGGTTGTTTTGTACTCCAGAACAAAGCTGCAGGCAATTCTCATCATAAAAAACATTGAATTTAAAACTTCTCTTTGAAAATCATTGCTGGCGCATCACAGTGATGATTGCTGTAGATGAGCTCTGCGTCCCATTGCTTCTCTATGAGAGGCACTGGATTGGCCTGGAGATCATCAGTACTGTTCATTTTGAAAAATGTTCTAAACACTCCACGACTGCAAACAAAGGTTGTTTTTTTTAGTGGAGTGTTTCTACAATACAGGAAGCTTACGTAGGTGTATAATATACACTTACAAAGAAATAATACACAATATTCCAAAAAATTATAAAGCTAAACTAAAAGAGAAAATCTTTTCAGTATGACTGAGAGAGATTGTATTGGAAAATAGATAAGAAATTTGAAATAAAGGAGATGACTGGAAGGGATGAACAGCATATTTCAGAGTTACTAAAAATAAACCTTGTCCAATTAGTCAATTTCTTAATAATCAAAATGCATATATTTAATATATTCCAGTAGTTGCATACATGACGGATTGATATACAATTATATTCTCTCCCGCTGTCAATAAGTAAGCCAATACAAAGAAAATTATAAAAAGGATAATCAGCTCGCCAGTTAAAACAAATGACAGTATAAAAATTGATATGAGGTCCATCAGAATACTGCAGTCCTCAGTCACAGATAGACCTTCGCGACAAAATATGACAGAATTTATCAGCTGCCAAAGTTAAAGAGATCCTGACTTCTCCCTGAACCTGTACACATGAAGTTGCTTGAACTGATAGAAACAAGACCGGAGTTTGGGCAACCAGAAAAATGACTAAGGCATCTTGGCAAGAATCGGTACCCAGCCCACCATGAATAAAAATTAGCCCTGTCCCCATAGCCAGAATGGACAAAGAGACCGCAAAAAAAGCTGACCAGACCCAGTTACTGTTACTTTACACTCACTGCACACAGCTACTCAAAAAGGTCCCTCCTGGTAAATGGAGAACTCTTTGAATTTTTAAAACATTATTTTTTATTTTTGGAGGGGGTGGGAATTCGTTTCAGCCCTTCCTACTTATTAAGGGATCTTGGTGATTCCCAACTGCTTTTTTTTTTTATCCAGAGTGGCTTCCCTTTTAGTTATTTGGGGATACAGTGAACCCCCAATAATGTTTTTTCTATTTTTGCGTTTAGTTTTTTGGCGTTTAAGTTTTTTCAGCAGCCTTATAGTGTTGCCAGGTTTGGCAACATCACCAAGAGGGTTTAAGTAACTACTTAGAGAGAACATGTATGTGTATTGAAGCTTTAGTACATAGAAGAAAAAAAAGTTTAGTTGTATTGAAGTTAGGCAGATTTATTTGGTGTTATTTGGGATTTGCCGGGCACTACGCCAAACACAAGGCACTGAATGGAAATTTTATTTTTTCTTAGCAACCAACAGGCTTTATTTTTTACCTCATTTTGAGTGTTTTAATGAGAGTCCTAGGATAGGCAAACAAATAATAATTGCATTATTTTCTCTTTGGTCCTTCAATGGATTTAAATTAGGCTCAAAACATTTTGAAAAAAATAATTATTGAGTTTGTTGTATCTTTATGATTTAAAATATTTGTATTTGTTGGGATCCTATGAGTTAAACCCAGTTAAAAGGTAAATATGAAAGTTATAGTATACAGCCAATACAGTGAAGAAACACCGAGTAGAGAATATATGAATGACACATAAGTGTCAATTATCTCTAATGTGAATAAGTTTACAGAAAATATTAAAAGCAAACTAATGAGACATGCATTTTCAAAATGTTCTCTAAGTGATAGTTGACTGTGGTATTAGTTACTATTCACTTGCTTTGATGTTTAAATATATCACAGTGAAAAGCCACACTTAATAGTGATCCTGTAAATGTAATTATCGTCATGAAAAACAAGGTTTACCAGCTATGTACCAGCTGTATGATTTAGTGTTCTATGGTGTATGCAGTATTCAAGTAATAATAATAGCTGTATGATTTAGTGTTCTATGGTGTATGCAGTATTCAAGTAATAATAATAGCTGTATGATTTAGTGTTCTATGGTGTATGCAGTATTCAAGTAATAATAATAGATTGCAGAATAATAAAAAAAAATCTAACTAAACCGATTACGATTTGCAAGCAATGCAAGAGATTAATTAACTGCTGAAAAAAATGAAACTACCAACGGAGTTGTTCTCAGGAACGAATGTTATGCTTGTGACTTATTTGAACATATTGTAGCAGATACACACAGGTCGTACGTGACCTCAATCTGCTGAACACTGAATCGAATAAGCTGTACTACCATTACTCTATCTAATAAAAACAGATTTACAAAAAAAAATTTAAAAAATGAAACTACAACTCCTAAAAAGGATATGACATATTTATGGTTCACTCGCTAGAGTAGGAATGTTTATTTAGAATTGGTGGTGTAGTTCACATTTTACACTTCTAATATTTGAGTTTTTCAAACATTGGTATTTTTATAATTTGTTGAATTGTTTTAAATGTTATTATTACAGTTGCTAAAATAGACTACGTTTTTATTTTAGGCACTCATTTTCCACTTTAGGAGTTACAGTGTTTTATTTTTAAATCTATATGCAGATATAGGAAATATGTCAATATGACAGTATTAAAAAGAAAATGCAGGGAGGCGATCATTGGCTAAGATCGCTCAGGTGAATCCCAGGTAAGTTTTCAAACCATTTTAGGCACTCCTGGAACCATAACTACTACAGCCAGTGGAACACTGCAGCTGCATGTCTGCTCCAAATGGCAGTCAGGACCTGCTCCCATACTAATCCTGTCATCTGTCTTCTCTTGGTTTTCCTCCTACCTCTCCCAACGCTCATTATTTTCTAATAATACCTCCTCTATTCATCCTGTCTCTGTTGGAGTCCCCCAAGGCTTTGTACTTGGTCCCCTTCTATTTTCTCTATATACTGCCTCTCTTGGCAAACTTATTACCTTATTTGGATTCCACTACCACCTGTAAGCTGATGACACTCAAATATATATCTCTTCCCCAGACCTCTCCCCTGCCGTCTCTCCGCTCTGCCCATGACCTTCTCCTGTCCGCTGCTTTCACCCGTACGGCCAATTCACGCTTGCAGGACTTCTAGCGGGTGGCTCCTTTCCTTTGGAATAGCCTGCCTACAACCATCAAGCTCTCCTCTAGTCTTCAATCTGTTAAAAATTGCCTCAAAACCCATCTCTTTAGGAAAGCTTATGGCCTCCCAGAGTAATCTCTACCTCACATACCTGTCTCTTGCTCTCTCCTAAAGGGCAGCATTCTATTCTCTCACCTTGTACACCTTGCTACCTCCTGTTCTGTTGGGTTTTACGCCCCACCTCCTATAGACTGTAAGCTCGTTTGAATAGGGCCTTCGTCAACCTATTGTTCCTGTAAGTTTTTATAATTGTCCTATTTATGGTTAAATCCCCCCCTCTCATAACATTGTAAAACGCTACGGACTATGCTGGCGCTATATAAATACCAGTAGTAATAATAATAATCTGCTTCACCCTACTGTATGCAGTGATGTATTTAGTATCTGTGTTGCCCTTGGCATGATGGAACTCGGGCACCCCCTAATTTACATTTTCCCCACCCCTTTCTGTCAATGCCACACTTCTTACTGTTAAACGACTAACACAAACTTTGACTGACAGA